TCACTTGATTTGAGCTTAGGAATTTGATAAATAGTGATGGAAAATGAAGAAAACAAGTTAAACAATACTTACTCAAGAAGCTTTGGTGAAGAGATGCTCTAAAAATCGCCTAGAAGCTTTGGAGAAGAAAGGGTTCGTGTGTTTGGTGAGAATTTCCCGTCACTGTTTTGTTTTGGGACATTTTAAATAACTGGGCAAAATTGCCCTATGCGATCGCGAAGCAAGAGATGCGATCGCATAGAGGAAGGGGGTAATTGGTCACTGCGATCGCGATGAGGGCACTGCGATCGCATAGGAGGAGTAGACTGACCATTGCGATCGCGAATGAGACTATGCGATCGCATAGAGAAAGTTTCGGGCACCTGAGACCTACACTATGCGATCGCGGAAGGGAGTATGCGATCGCGTAGAACAAACTGGACTCCTGGAATTTTACACTATGCGATCGCGGAACCAACTATGCGATCGCATAGAACAAGGAACTGGGCAACAGCAGACAGCAGATTCTGCAATTTTTTTCTAAGTTCAAAATCACCCCGGGACACCTTCGAAACACTCCCGAGTCCTCGGGGCTACTAACCAAACACATACACTAACTCAACAACATCCTACGAACTCAACCGTGCGATCAAATCGCCAAAATAACATCAGAAACGAGGAATCAAACCTCAAAATCACTAATTTTTTTCTTCAAACTTCATAAATTTTCAATTTTTGAGATTTAAGCCCGAAACACGTCAAATGACGTCCGTTTTCAACCAAATTTCACGGAAACATCTTAAAACACATATAAGACCTGTACCGGGCTCCGGAACCAAAATACGGGCCCGATACCAACACGTTCTAATCAATTTTCATTTCCATTTTCCTTAACAATTTTAGAAAAATAATTTCTTTTAAAAATTCATTTCTCGGGCTCGGGACCTCGGATTTCGATTCCGGGCATATGCCCGAGTCTCATATTTTTCCACGGACCCTCCGGGACCGTCAAATCACGGGTCCGGGTCCGTTTACCCAAAATGTTGACCAAAGTCAAATTTACTCATTTTAGCACCAAAATTTAGCATTTTTCACATAATTTCACATATAAGCTTTCCGGCTACGTGCCCGGACTGCGCACGCAAATCGAGGCGACTAAAAATTAGGTTTTCAAGGCCTCAGAAGCACGGAATAAATAGGAAAACAGGTGATGTCCCTTTGGGTCGTCACATACTCCCTCCTGCAAATATGTCATGATGCGGTTGCGCCAGTCCCAAGTCAAATTTATGGAATGTACCTCAAGTTGGTCTATTGACGAGTGGAGGAGGGTGACCACATTCTCCTTGGTGATATTTTTGGTCGACGCGGCCAGTTTGGCGAGGCCATCTGCCTCGATGTTTTCCGCCCGAGGTATCTGGTCGAGTCGACATTCATCAAATTCTGGCAGTAGTTTATGAATTTCTGCTTGATATTTCTATAGCCTTTGCTCCTTGATTTGGAAAGTCCTTGTGACTTGGTGGACAACGAGTTGTGAGTTGCATCTGAGAATGACTCGTCGTGCTCTGTATTTGAGGGGTAGCTTTAATCCTGCAATTACAGCCTCATACTCAGCCTCGTTGTTAGTCATTTTGGGGCACCGTATGGATTGGCGGATAACTTCGCCTGTTGGGACTTCGAGTACGAGTCCCAGTCCAGATCCCGACGCATTAGATGCACCGTCGGTGTAAAGGACCCAGAGGTCGGGTTGCCCATGGGAGGTACGGAGCGTTTCCTGCTCGACCTCGGACATTATTTTGGTACTGAAATCGGCGAGTACTTGTGACTTTATCACTGTTTGCGGCTGGTATGTTATATCAGGCTCGCTCAATTCTATGGCCCACTTAGCCAGCCTTCCTGACAGTTCGGGTTTATGTAGGATGCTCCGCAAGGGGAAGGTCGTTACTACCGATATGGGGTGGCACTGAAAGTAGGGTCTGAGCTTTCTTGAAGCTATGACCAATGCTAGAGCCAATTTTTCGAGGTGAGGGTACCTCGTTTCGGCGTCGACCAGGGTCTTGCTAATATAATAAATTAGAGACTGCCTACCTTTGTTTTCGCAAACCAATACTGCGTTTATCGCGACTTCTGAGATGGCCATGTAGATTATGAGGCGCTCACCGGGTTGTGCTTTGGCGAGTAGTGGAAGCGAGGACAAATATGCCTTTAGTTCCCTCAAGGCCTCGACGCATTACGAGTTCCATTGGAGCCCGTTATCTTTTTTCAGCACGCTGAAGAATTTATGGCACCTGTCGGATGACCGTGAGATGAATCTCGACAGGGCGGCTATACAGCCAGTCAATTTTTGCACATGTTTCTTGCTGGTCAACACCTCTGGTATTCCTCCAATGGCTTTGATCTGGTCTGGATTGACTTCGATGCCTTTATTTGATACCAAGAAATCGAGAAATTTGTCCGAGGTTACGCCGAAGATGCATTTTTTGGGGTTCAGTTTCATGCCATACCGCCTAATATACCGAAGGCCTTTTTAAGGTGGTCGATGTGATCTTCTTTCCTTTTTGACTTGACCAGCATGTCGTCGATGTAGACTTCCATTGTCTTGCCGAGTTGATCTTTGAACATCTTGGTAACCAACCTTTGGTACGTTGCTCCTACATTCTTTAACCCGAACGGCATGACTCTGTAACAGTACGTCCCCTGATGGGTGATAAAACTAGTTTTCTCTTGATCCTCCTCCTCCATGAGGATTTGGTTGTAACCTGAGTAGGCGTATAAGAAACTTAACAATTCGTGCCCTGCCATTGCGTCGATGAGCCGGATGTGAGGCAATGAGAAGGAGTCTTTTGGGCATGCTTTGTTTAGGTCTGTGAAATCTACGCACATCCACCATTTCCTATTTTTCTTTTTTACCATGACCATATTGGCGACCTACTGGGGATACTTTGATTCCCGTATGGAACCACTGGCGAGCAGCTTATCTAGTTCATCACTGACAGCCTCATTGATTGCGGCGTTGAATTTTCTTCTTATTTGCCGCACTGGTGGATAGAGCGGGTCGACGTTCAGCTTGTGGGTGGCAACGTCTTTTGGGATGCCTGGCATATCTGCATGGGAGAAAGCGAACAAATTGGCATTATCAATTAAAACTTCGTGAAATTTACCTAGTTCTGAGAGCTTGTGTCCGATGCAAGCCTTTTTGTTGACGTTGCTGCTATCTAGTTGGACGGGATCAAGATCTTCTATCGTTGATTCACCAGCTTCCACAGTGTCGGGGTCCCTGATGATGTCTGTCAGCACGTCGGGTATGATCCCTGACTACGGTGATTGCTATGCTTCCGAGCCTACTCTTTTAGTTGTTGGGTGTATGTGCAGTCTTGGGCGATACGATAGCATTCTTGGGTTGTGCGTTGCTCGCCTCGGATGTTGAATATTCCCCATGGAGTAGGGAACTTTATTACTTGGTATATGCTTGACGGTATGGCTCTCATGGCACAAATCCATGGCCTCCCTATGATGGCGTTGTAAGCTGTATCCTGGTTCATGACGTGGAACGTTGTTTCCAGAGTGACACCCCCGGCCAAAACGGGCAGCGTTATCTCCCCGGAGGTTTGCTCAACTACATTATTAAAACCCGTTAGCGTTATGCAATGCGATACTACCATGTCTTCGAGTCTCATTTATATGAGGACTCGAGGGTGGATAATACACGCGCCGCTTCCGTCCTCAACCATTATTCTTTTCACATCAGTATCTAAAATACATAAAGTAATAACAAGAGCATCGAAATGAGGGAAAGTCAAACCGTCGGTATCTGACTTATCGAAGATGATACTGTCTCCGAAGTCGTCATACTGTTCGTGCGTGATTGATCGCTTGAGTTTGTGTGTGGTGGTGAACTTCACGTGGTTGACTGCTGCTTCATCGCCTCCGCTGACGATCATTTGAATGGTGCGAGCGGGGGAGGGCGGCTTTGGAGGTCCCTGGTGTTGTTCTCGCCCGTGGCCGAAGTTGGCTCGTCCACGGTCGCTCATCAATTCCTTCAGGTGCCCTTGGTTCAACATGTTTACTACCTCTTGCTGTAGAGCTATGCAGTCCTCAGTCTTGTGACCCCGCTCCTGGTGGAATTCACAGAGGACATTCGACTTTCGTGTACTTGGGTCGAACTTCATCTTTTGTGGCCATTTCACCTTTGTGCCAAGCTTCTCTAGTGCGTACACTATTTCTAAAGGGGAAACACAAAAATTGTGAGCGGATAAGAGTGGAGGCATACCTCTTTCGTTTCATTGAGTCCTTGTTTACGGCCTGGGCGACCCTTCTACATGTCGGGGAGAGAGTAGGATGGCTGTTCTGACATAGGGCTGTTGTCTTTCTCGGTTGAGACGGGGGCCTGACTGATCTCTTTGACCGTGGTTGCGACGATCTTTCTCGGCTCTGTTTGAATTGATGTTAGCCGTTGGGTCGGACCGTTAAGGTCGTCCTCGTCGGCACTTACCTTGGTGCAATAGGCATTGTGAATTTCCTCCCAAGTAGTGGGAAGGTATTTCATGAGCCTGCTCAGTAGTTTTCTGGTTGCCCTCGATCCTCTCCTGTTCAACCCGTTTTGTAAGGCTGCTACCGCCATCCCTTCCGATACATTTGGTAGGCTCATTCTCACTCTGTTAAACCGGACGAGGAAGTCTCTGAGTCCCTCGCCAGGCAATTGCCTAACGGCGAATATGTTGTTCACCCTGGCTTCTGCCTTTTTAGCCCCTCCGTGGGTAGTGACGAACTTATCGGCCATTTTTTCGAACATTGCTATTGACCGCGCCGGCAGTTGTGAATACCAGGTTAAGGCTTCCCCCGTCAGGGTTTCACCGAACTTTTTCAGTAGCACTGACTTGTTCCTTCGAAAGGTCGTTGCCCTTCACCGCTGTGACGTAGTGAATGATGTGATCCTCGGGGTATGTAGTACCGTCGTATATCTTCAGGTACGGTGGCATTTTGAAGGTTTTGGGAATGGCATGTGGAGCTGCTTCTTTGTTGTAATGGTTGTTCGACGAACCGACCAACATCTCGCTTTAGCAGCAACTTTGGGGCACCTGGTATCTTATCGACCCTTTCTTGATGCCCCCTCATCTGATCGCAGAGCGCCTTGTTTTCGTTTTCCATTTCTTCCATTTTCTTTAATACGGCTGCAAGTGCGTCGTTACTTGCATCAACAGTGGTGTAAGTGATACCTGTTTGAGGTGCGGGCTATTCGCCAGTGGTTGTTGTGGTGTCTGCTTGCGCGGTGTCTCTGTTCTCCCTTTGAACGGGTCTATCGAGTATATTATTTAGGGTGCTTGTCAGCCATTCTTCCAGTAACTTTTTCACTGCTGGTGGTGCCTCTTCAGCTGTGGATGTGGAGGATAACCTTTCGCATGAAGCTGTTACGCTTTCGTGAGGGGGGGGGGGGTGAAGCACTTCGCCTGGGCGTGGCGTTTGGTGTCACGTTCTTGTTGTCTCCTCTACCATCTTCGTTGATGGTGTTCAGAATGTTGGTGGTGACGTCTGCTATTGCTTTCAATCTTGCATCTCCTTTTCCTGCCATCGTTAGTTTGTGCAAACAAAGAAAAGATGGTTGTCTTTCCCCTCTCTTTTTTTTTTGACCTAGAAAGAACTATATATTCAACTAAAAACTCCCAAACAGACGACGCTAAATTGTTTGAGCAAATAATTGCTAAACCAATTAATGTTAAGTTTGATGGGTGAATCTTAGTTGTATCTAATCAATTCTAGATCAAACGAAACAAAAGCCTTGTATAACAGATAAACTCTAGGAACAATAACAAGAATTAATTTGCTATGATTGATAGTGCATGCAATAGCATAAATGCATAATAAATGTAAATACGGAAAGAGATAATAGGGGGAAAGGAACTATCACCCAATGATTATATGATTGGGAGATTCCTTTCTTCTGAAGATCACGTGGGAAGGAGAACAGTTGGAATATATGTGGGATCTCGAGATTTATGGATAGAGATTGAACAACATGTGCTTGAATAAATGGATAAGACAACTCTCTTGTATATTCTTCTTTCAACTTTTACAATATGTTCTAGTTCTAAAAAGGCAGATCCTCTTTTTGTTCCCTATCCCTTCCTATTTATAAGGGACATTACCCAAAAAACCCTAAAAAGTACAATATAAAGAATATCCTAAGCTTACTTCTGAATTAAATTTACCGTTACTATCCTATCTCAGCTGCCCGCTTCTAGCGTCGGCCTTTATGAGGACGACCTTTAGGTGTTGTGGCGTGGTCGACCCCGATGCTTATCCGTTACCGTGGTTACTAAATTTGGACCTATACACATCCAAACAAGCTGTTAGGTAAATTTGGAACTCCCTTGAGTAGTTATAAGTAAAGAGAAAAACATCATAGCAAGAGATATAAAGGCTTTATCCAACTTGGATCTTTCAGTGGTGGATATAGCATGCAAGTTATATGTTTGTATTAATAATATAGTTGGAACCTAGCAAATTTAAATTCGGCATAGTCTTTTTTCAAATCTGATTCTTCATTATTCTTTAAATATTAAAACTTTCATCTACACATAGTAAAAGGTTGGCGAGTGACGAGATTACCAAAAAGATAGCCCATTATTTAAAAAACTAGAGAATATATCCGCGCTTCGCGCGATCAAGAAAAACAATAATGAATACCCAAAATTATTTTTTCATAAGTTTAGTAGAAATAGAAGAGATTAAAAGAGTTATGTATATGAATGAATTTTTTTTTGTAAATAGACACATAATTTTATTAACAGACAAGCCAAAAATATAAATCTTTATATTAGAAATACCTTCTCGAGGTTAATTGCTCTTTCTAAAACATTCAAGTGCCAGTTTTCTCTATTTTTCTATACACGTCAAGCACAATAACTTATTATTTATATCAATAAGCGTTACCTAATTTCAAGAAAAATATTTGCAGCATATAATTGTTTTTCATTGCTTGATACTTATGATGTATGGAAAGAAAATTAGGTAATTAAATGAACAACATTTTGCATTGTCATTCATCTAAATCGGACGATATCTTAATTTTATTAATAATAAAATAATTATCACGACTTAAATGATTTTAGTTTTTTAAAAATAAATAATTATAAATAAGTGCTAATTTGGTTCTTGTATATACTATACAATAAAGTCGTTACTCAACCTTATTTGTGAAATGAACTTGACTTTGTTTTAAGGAAATTACTCAGAAAACTTGAAGAGCCTAACGGTATGAATTCCTAGAAACTATTCTTATTCAAACGATAGAGTTAGCAAATTGAACAAAGAGGGGATGGTGTGACGATGAAGCTGTACGATGATATATTCTTCATACCTCTTACTTGTTGGTGTCTCCAAATGAAAATGAAGGTATTAACATCAAACCCCGCATTCAGCTTAAAGCAATTGTTTCTACCTAGAAAATGAGATTTTAAACTATAAATAATAAAACGTAACTAACATGCTAATAAGCATTAAAGCTATAGATTTACTGGAAAGAGAAAAAATAAAGAGAAATAAGAACAAATGACATGCTTAAGAAAAACTTAGATAAAAACATACAATGGCCTTGAACCCCCCTCTCC